CAGTGCCAATGAGTCGAGCCGATCGGAAAGGACACGGTCGTCGACGATTCGAGCCGCTCTGCGCTGGATGCGGTCAAGTGGAAGAAGCTGGCACTGGGGAGCCCCAGCCCAGAGATGGGAACAGTATTCCATGTGAGGCCGAACCTGCGCCTTGTAAAGTTGCAGGCGTTGAGCCGGCATGAAATACTGTCCCGCTCTGCTGAGCACGCCAAGCTTTTTAGAGGCCAATTTGGCCTTCTCTTCCAAGTGACCACGAAACTGCACGCTACTCGATATGTCGACGCCGAGGATTCCGATACTGGCTGAGGCAACAAGGGGAGTACCTTGAAACTGAGGAGATACGACAAAGGGGTTCTTTTTAGCGGTAAACGCGCAAACTTGTGTCTTCTGAGGATTAAACTGGACTAGATTTAGTCGCCCCCAATCCGAGACTTTGTCCAGCAAAGACTCGACTTCAGACACAAGTTTGTTCCGGTACTCAGTGACGTTTTCCCGAGATATATTGGCACGGCCGGTGTATATAAATATTGGCAAGCCGTTATTGACGTCACACATATTTATTTCATTTTCATTTTCATTTTTGTATATTTTGGACAATTAACAAGACTAAAATAAGTTTTTAGGGCAAGGAATGCTGCGCCAATACTTATTGTCCAACTTTAGTCTTTGAAATATTTTTTTTATTTCTCAGACATGCAAGTTTCCTCACGATGTTTTCTTTCACAGCTGAGCACGTGGAACTTAAAATTGCAATTAACAATTTCAAAGGTGCCGGTGGGGATCGAACACCGGTTGCTCGCGTGCTATGAAATTTACAGCGAGCGCATAGCCCCTCAGTTACCACGGCTCGATTTAGAATTAAAAACTAAATGTTGACTTAATTAAAGGTTACATCAAGGACGCGTTAATAGTACTTATAAACGTACACTGATAAAAGATATAAATTACTACAAAACATACACGTATTATAATATGTATACCGATTGAAAACAAAGCAAACAAGCATACTGGAAACCATAGTACAGGTTGTTAATTGCATTACTTTTTTCATTCTATGAGTATTTAGTCTGCTCTTTTTTTTTGCTATACTGGGAAAAATCATATTAGATTTGTCGTCTAGTAGCTACAAATATATAGGTCAAGTACAAGATTTAGTCATATTTTGTCTTTTTTTTTTCTTAAATTTTTTATAAAGATAGTGGAGCGACTTCGTTTTTAATAACACCAAAAAGTAAATTAGCGAATTTTAGTTTTTGTCACTTTTTTATTTTTAATACACCTGCTTCATTAAAAACAAGTGCAACATAGGACCGTTTTGGTATTTAGAAATAGAACGTATATGCATTAAATTCTCTATACGTTGTTATAAATTTTGTGAATTTTCCAAAATCGACACACTATGATACAGTGGTTAAGTTTCGGTAAACATACTTTAAGTATATTGCAAATTATTGAAGGTTAAAATAAAACCAGTTATTTTGATGTTGCGTAAATTATATATTATGCTTGTTGATAAAGAAATTAAACTCAAAACTATACAAGGAGTCTTCAGCGACACACGTGCTGGATTATTTTTTTAAATTATTTACGTCAGTTATCTGTTTTTGCCTTAAGGTACGTAATAATAAATATGATTGTGAATTTAGCTAAATATGATCCGGTGAGAATAACAGTGAGAACAGAATAATATTTTGGATAAGTGTATATATATATATATATATATATATATATACGTATAATAGTAACAAATTATTTTTGTTTTTTAATTTGGGATTTGAATAAAATAAGGCTAAGGTAGTTAAGTGATAAAATTTAACTCATCCTTCCACAATAAAGATACAAAATATTGCAACATCCGGTGTACTACTAAACTTTAGCAACATTCTGGTCCATTATCTTTTAAATTACAATACATATCCTTTTTAAATTTAACATTGGAATTATGTAATTCAGTTTATAATGTTGTCACACAACAGCTTGTATAAAAACTATAAAATATTTTTCTTAAAATAGTGTATTTTGTCGCGAATATTATGTTCAAATTTTTCTCATAATATAAAATAACTAGCAGTTAAAATTATTTCAAAGATATTTATTATTAATTTTACGCTGTTAAATAATTTTGGGCTTAGTATAAAAATCTGAGATTAAAGAAAAATTTTTAAAATCTTATGAAATATAGAACAGAATAAAATAATTTTTATTCTACATATATTACAAAAAAAATCATAAATGTCATTGATTTACCACTGGTTTGAAAAAAAACTCTCTGCTCTGGGAAGAACCAGCAAGAAACCAAGCATAATTACAATAATACCTAATAAAAAACAACGTATAAAATTAAATATGAAAATTTTGGAAACAGCCTGAGTTAACATCAATCATCTACGATTTATTACTATGACAACCATTATTAAACAATGAAAAAATTAACTTTGATAGGTAGGTCCTGCATATTCTTTTGGGACTTCGTGGTAAAAGATTATACATTGCCTTATGAAGAAGTTACTGACACTTTGGATTCGATTAACTGGTATAGCTTGTACTTGTTCCTAGTATTTGCAGAATGTACATCACTATTTAAAAAAAACTATTTTTGGTTTTGTGTACATACATTAAACTTTAGTAAATATACAGAGAGTTTAAAGTTAATATTATATTTATTTCTTTAAATCTTTCTCTTATGGATTCGCTCAAACCTAGGTTATAAATTGCTCTTATGCCTCTCTTCTGCAAAACAAAGATGGTTTCAATTTCGATCATATTACTCCATCAAGATTCCATTATGACATGTTACTAAGTGCGCAACTAGTAAAATATTTTTTTTTAAATGCCAACTGCTCAATTTCATTAGAAGGCCTTACTACTTATAAGGTATTTCTGTTAAAGTAATAAATTCTATTATTCATGTCCTATTGCTACATTTAGCGTTGATATAATTCATATTTAGGCAAAGAGGTATTTGCTGAATTAATGAAGTGCAGCAAAGTCATACCACTTCTTTAATCGGGATGGATACCCTTGCTATTTCAGCCTGTAGAAATTTTTAACGCGTTTAGTAAGTAAAGTATTTCAAAAAAGTTAAAAGTTAAAGTTGAAACCTAAATACATCCCACTGCTGGGCGCAGGCCTCCTCTCACTTCTGAGAGGGTTTTAAGACAAGGAAAAGTTTGCCAAGTTGCCCCAATACGTGTTGGCGAACTTCACATGTCTTCGAAATATTTTTTCTTATTTCTGTTTCCTCACGATGATTTTCTTCAACGCCAAGAAAGTGAATAATTATTTGAAAAGTTAATTATTGATGAAATGTTTTTCTTTTTTCACTTAAATCAATTACTTTACTACCATCAGCTCGGATGTACTAAGGGGTGCTTTATTTACTGATACAGGTTAGTGGTAAATAAAGCACTTGGAGAATTAACAGAATGCGTTTTTATTTCTGGCGTTTTTTATATCTACTGTTTCCAGCTCCTTCGATGTTTTTGCAACTATGACAATATCATCTGAAAATTTTAGGTAACTTAGGAACTCCGTATCGTATAATGTCCTGTAACATGGTTATATATATATCTTTGAACACAATGGATCCTCTTGTTTCTCTCCTCTTCTAATGTAAATTTTTGGTCCAAATCTGTCCAATTTCACCCTGCTTGTGCTGTTCTTGTTATATATCTTTGATTATATTTATGTTAGTGTCTAGAACACGTTAATGTGAAAACGCTTGTCATATGCCCTCGTATAAAATTGAATCAAATGCTTTCACATAATCATTGTATGCGAGGTAGAGCGCCTGATTAAATTCTTGATCTTTTTCTAGTATTTGGTCTAACGTGTGGATGTGGTCGAATGTTTCTAGACACATTGCTAGTACATTGTACATTGTTGGCAGCAGGTCGATAGGTTGATAGTTATTAATATCTGAAGGATTTGCCTTTTATATAATAGAATTATACGCGATTGAAAATGATGAAAAAGAAAATATTTGCGGAATTTCTTTCGCCGTTTGTTCTCCGACGAGAAGAACTTTATTTTCAAAAGGGTAGTAGAAAATTTAGTAGGTTTAATAAATATGACATTTAACAAACACAAGTTATCTAAAGAGTCATGCCTCAGCTGTTCTAAACGTGGTGCAGATATGCTGCAGCTGTATTAACTGTATAGTTGTAGCATAAATGTGTCGGCTCGACCGGGGAAGGACCACGCTCTCACAGAATACCAGCGTAAAACAGCATAATGCTGCTGTGTTTCGTATGGTAATGTCGACGACTGGAGACCCTTTTTACTGCAAAAGGGGCATTCCATCTTAGTCCGCACGGCTGCCAACGCATCTGCATTTTGATTCCCAAACGAGGATATATGTAGATATCTATGGGCCGCAGAAACCACTTACCATCAGGTGGACTGTGTGCCCGCTTGTCATCCTAATTCTTGAAGCGTCAATAGCCTAATGGCAGGTCACGAACCGCGAACTCGAAAGGTCGTGGGTTCGAATCCGCCATGCGACTACTGTCGTGAACCACTTCTAACACAAGCGTTTTAAGCTTACCAGAAGTGATTAAAGGGAATATTAGTAATGTTTAATAGTATTACTAGTATTTTTTTTATAAAAAAAAATCTAAAAAATAAAATAAAAAAGTTTTATTTCGTTTCCTGATTCTTTGATTTGTTTCCTGAACAAACGGTTAAATAAGTGGATGCTGTCGTTTATGGACATCAACATATGCTCTCGATAAAGAATCAAATTCAGATGCTTTGTCACCTCTAAGAATTAAGAACGAAAGCCTCGGTACCAGTAACAAGACTCCGCTTCTTATGTCTTGTTTCTATTACTCACCTTACGAAGCACTCCAGCACTATGCTGCTATTTTAGTATTTTGTGCGATCATCGCCGGTGTAGCTGGTTGCCATTTGAGTTGCAGCCATAATGCACTGCAGCGTGGCTCTACAACGATAAAATTTAATATGTCTAAAAAGTTAATCCGTTGTTTTTATATCCTTAGATGCATTTAGAAGGCGAACACCACATGGTTTTGTATACGGAAGAAGACAAGCAGGCAGTTAAAAAAGAAAACGGATTAAAAGATAGTGGACTTAAAGAAGATATTGATGCAATTATGGAATGGTTCAAGAAACAGCCACACTTGGCGGAAGCACCCATAGGTAGTATTCCTTAAACTATCTATACATATAAATATAATTGTAGTGTCTGTCTGTAATATTGAAATATCTGGCTCTTAGCAAGCTCAGGGGTTTATTTGTAAAATAAAACATAAACAATAATTTTTAATTTTTTTGTCTGTCTGTCTGTATGTCTGTTCGGGTTTATCTTCGGAATGGCTGAAGCGATTGTCACCAAACGTTATGAAAATATAAATATCAACACTAGCAGGGATCTAGGCTACATTTTATCTGAAAAACTTAGAGATTTAAAAACACAACTAAAAATTATCTCAAACCTAAATAACGCCACATTAATAGATTCTATCTAGGCGTAGCCGGAGCTAGTTATTTAGTAATATTTAAATGTAAAACTAAAGAAGCAATGGGCTTGAAGAACCTACAACCGATGAGGAAGAACGGTTGTCGAGTAGCAGCCTCGTAATGGTAAGTGAACAGACATGCAGGCAGTCGATGGATGCAGGTGGCTCAGGACTGTTTTGTGGCATTCCTTTGGGGTGGCTTATGTTTGACTTGTTAAGGGCTGTAATCGTGATGATGATGGTTATGAAATTTGCTTGTCATATGTCAAGATTCTCTAATGCTTCCATATAGACATTTACATTTATCTATATTAAAATTCAAAATGCAGATGCATTGTCACCCCTGAGGATTCAGGCGGAATGCTTTGTTTCCAATAAAAAGAGTATCCAGTTCTCTACACTCATCATACGAAACACAGCGGCAGTAAGCTGCTATTTTAAGCTGGTATTCTGTGAGAGCGTGGTCCTACCCCGATCGAGCCGACAAATTCGTACTATAACCATAATATAGCTGCAGCGTGGCTCTACCACGTAAAAACCTATTCAACTTAAACTGCCTTTAAGAAAGAGGCCCCTTTCCAGAAATGGACTTTAATGGATTGATAATAACGGTTATGATCACAATGATGATGATAATTTTTTTTTTGTATAACACATTAGATATCATTTCCAAGAATGCCAGACGAAACATACTACTTGGAAATTATTTTTATACTAAGTGGATGTTGGGAGCATAGAGCTGATACAATTGAGCTTATAATACACCATCATAAGTGTGTGAAATTTCAACTCAGAGATTTTGGGTAAATTTCCCGATAACACTCGATCGAATAGACGCCGGTCGAGAACCGAATGTAACCAGCGTGGGACTGACAAAAATACCGCCAGTACAACTCTGCGTGTTGTGGAGTCCACCGGGCTTCTCCGTATTTTCCGATTGGACAAAAGTACGTCGTGAGAAGACGTCCCACGTTTCGTAGAAGAATGAAGCCTATACCTAATAGAGAATCCGATCTCTATACATTTGCAGCGTTGTTGTCCAATAGGTCAATAGATTTCAAAACTTACATACTCCAGGTTCCTGCAAAATGCAGAGAGACACTCCTTGATTTCCGGCCCTATGGGGTATCGCCAATGCGTCCCTGCATCAAAGAAGAAAGTTCTCTAAATTGTGTTTAGCACAAAATAACCCTACCATTTAATGTCTGGACGGACGCTCTATCGCTATATTTGCCGCACCCGTACCGTGACTTTGCAAACGACTGTTTCCTACCTATGTGACTTACTTCCACTCATCTTCACATCATCATTCATCATCATTACAGCCCTTCACAAGTCCACTGCTGAACATAGGCCTCCCCCAAAAAATGCCACAAAGCACGGTCCTGAGCCACCTGCATCCATCGACTTCCTGCATGTCTTACCAGGTCGTCACTCCATCTCGTGGGGGGACGCCCTACACTTCGCCTACCAGTACGAGGCTGCCACTCGAGAACCTTTCTTCCTCATCGGTTGTCGGTTCTTCGAGCTATATGGCCGGCCCACTGCCACTTCAGCTCACCAATCCGTTGGGCTATGTCGGTTATTCTGGTTCTACTGCGGATATCCTCATTCCTAAGTTTATCACGCAGAGAAACTCCGAGCATAGCCCTCTCCATAGCTCGCTGAGCGACCTTGAGCTTCCTCATACGGCCAGCAGTGAAGGACCACGTCTCAGTTCCATAAGTCATCACTGGCAACACGCACTGGTTGTACAATTTCGTTTTCAGGTTTTGAGGTATGTCTGACGAGAAAATGTGTCGTAGCTTCCCGAACGCTGCCCAGCCGAGTTGAATCCGTCGATTGACCTCTCGGTCGAAGTTGGACTTACCTAGTCGGACTATTTGTCCCAGGTAAACATACTCGTCAACAACTTCGAGCTTAGTGCTCCCAACAACTACCGGCATAGGTGTGACATGGACATTGAACATGATCTTTGTTTTGTCCATGTTCATCTTAAGACCTATCCGTTGGGAAACACTATCGAGGTCATTGAGCATAGTGCTTAGGTCCTCCAGCGATTCTGCCATAAGAACTATATCGTCGGCAAATCGAAGGTGAGTGATGTACTCGCCATTGATGTTGATACCGTATCCTTTCCAGTCCAGAAGCTTGAAAACGTCTCCCAATGCAGCGGTGAAGAGTTTAGGGGATATGACGTCACCCTGTCTTACACCTCTCTGCAATTGGATAGGTTTCGTACTCTGGTTCTGTACTCAGATAGCCATCGTAGCCCTACTGTATAAGCACTTCAACACTTCGATATACCGATAGTCAACTTGGCACCGCTGAAGGGACTGCAGCACCGCCCAAATTTCGACGGAATCAAAGGATTTCTCATAGTCCACATACGCCAGACATAGTGGCAAATTGTACTCTTCGGACTTCTGTACAATTTGCCGAAGGGTATGTATGTGGTCTATGGTGCTAAAGCCCTTTCGGAAACCGGCTTGTTCGGGAGGCTGGAAGTCGTCAAATCTGCGCGCGAGACGATTCGTAATGACTCTCGAAAACAGCACGTAGACGCGGCTCAGAAGGGAAATCGGTCTGTAGCTCTTCAAGAGAGCGTTGTCACCTTTCTTGAAGAACAAGACCACCGCACTTCTGCTCCACGCCTCCGGTGTAATGCCACCATGGAGGACGGAATTAAAGAGCTTCTGAAGGACTTCAAGTATCGGTTTTCCACCCGCTTTCAGAAGCTCCGCTGTAATTCCATCCTCGCCTGGGGCCTTACCGTTTTTAAGGTGCTGGAGAGCCATTCTAATCTCGCTCAGACTGACGTCCGGGATATCTTCGGAATAGTGTCGGATGAGACTCGCTCTTGGATCGTTACTCACACTTGCGTGTGGCTCTAACGATGCCGTGTACAGCTACTCATCTTCACAGATATTACTAATTGTGTGATAGATTTTACTTGCCCTACTTTCGTTTTATTTCCAACGCTGTTTGTTTATGCACAATTGTATGCTCCGGCTGGAATTTAAACATAGAACTCGCAAAGAAAGTTGGTATAAATTATGGCAAAAAGCCATTATTAATACCAACAAACATAACATAGTAATTTATAATGGAGTATGTGCTTATTTTAACATTAAAGAGGTTCATAGTTTCCATATTGAGTTAATATACACGAGCGGTTTTGTGTAAGCATTGAAGGAAATTATTATTTCATATATTATTACTACTTTAGTATTCTAAACACACTTCTATAAGTTGGTTAATATCATTGTGGTAATATTTTAATTAACTAATGTCACATTTTTTACTCTTGGAGCCATAATCTCCAATTCAATTCAATAAAAATAAAAAAATATTTTACAACAAATATGACATCATTTATGATAAATTATTTAACTTTTACTTTCATAAACAGGACATGAGACAGTTTCAAGGTAATAGAAAACTGACATTCGTATTATAATATTACTCTATTATTTATTAGGTGCAAATAAAAATATTTTTCAAGAAATTACATTTATTTATTTATTTACAGAAATTATAACCAGGACTTTAAATTTCAATTTCAGATCGCGATTTGATCGAAAGAATTTTAATCGCTTCGAAAGGTTCTCGAGAAAAAACAAAATACAGGATTGAAAATTTCTATAAACACAGAGCATTGGCCCCGGAGTTAATACAAAGTAGAGTTGAGATACTCTCGAAGACCGATGAAAATATTTGGACATTTTTGTAAGCTATTTTTTTGTGTTATTTTTAAATTTAAGAAACTGTAGTAGCTGAAAGGTTGGCGACGACAATCACAGATTGATAATGAAGATTTTAAATTTAGATTTTCTCGAGCGCGGTTGTGAAAAGTGCCGATATGAGAATATCTGCATGTTTACGGAACTTACATTAATTATTGGATGTCCGCTAATTTGTTCTGGATAAACATTTAGAGTACTTCTCATCTTCATTATTCTCCTTCTTTTCTATCCTCTATAAATCCCTTGCTGAATATTGGTATTTTAGCTTAAGGAACTAATAAAACCTTAAAAGTGCAATATCAATTATCTATACATATAAATACAATGGAAGAGAATCTGTCTGTAATATCGATTTAACAGACGGGTTTATTTGCCTGACATTTTTATCTGTCCGTCTGTCTATCTGTCCGTCTAGGCTCATCTTTGAAATGGCCAAACTAATTGTAATTTAACTTTACGAACAGAAAGAAGCAATGCCAGGAGTGATCTAGGTTATATATTATCCGAAAAAGTCTTATGACTTTTTATGAAAAGTAAATTGGCAAAATAAATTACGTGGTAGAACCATCTGCAGCTATATTAATAGTATAGTTGTAGCACGAATGGGTCGGCACGACCGGGGAAGAACCACGCTCTCACAGAATACCAACGTACAGCTTAATGCTGCTGTGTTTCGTATGGTGAGTGTAGAGAACCGGAGACTCATTTTACTGAAAAAGATGCATTCTATCTTAGTCCTCAAGGCTGACATTGCCTCTGCATTTTAATTCGCAAACGAAGATAGATGCAGATGTCTATGGGTCACAGCAACCACTTACCATCAGGTGGACTGTGTGCTCGTTTGTCACCCTTATCCAATAAAAAAAAGGTCTTTGGTTATCTTAAATCTAAATAATGCCACATTAATAAATTCTACCCAAGCCAGGAAAGATTGCTCTTGTATCAAGTACGGTGATTTGAATAGGAAGTCCTAAAACCACCCTAAGCACTAGTAATGTTAAAAAACACTTTTTTTCCTCACTACTTAATTTTTTGTAGCGAAAATCTGCAGAGAACATTATTATAGCCTGTTTTATAGTATGCTTATATAAGATGGTTCGATAAAAATCAAATTGACTTAACAATGAGAAGATAAGTTAGGCAGTTATGTCTTAGTATAAGTGAAGAAAAAAACTGGTGACAATCACTGAATGGTGAGAGGCACACTGAACATTGGCATAAAGTTGTTTAAGTAGCATAATATATCCCAAAAACATTGTGGTATAAGCCTATTTTAAACCCGCGAATACTGAGGAAGCTATACGGTGCATCTTTTTTACCTTCCTCAGTATTAGAGATATTTAGATGTAGAGTTGAATCCGATGAAAACATTTTATTTTTATTTTGTACTACTAAAAGAAAAAATAAATATTTTCATTCCAAAAGAATATTATTGAAGAAGCTGTATCAGAAATAGTAGAATACCCCTAATGTAGGAGTTACAGTTAGCCCTAAGTTCCAATTTGAAGATAACATTGCTGGTGTTGTAAGGAACTGTTTCTATCGGATAAACATTTGTACATGGTACGAGAATATCTAAGTATTGAATTACGTATTATATTATCGAATTAGAGATCATCGGACGCACTCGTATTATCGAAACTTAATTATGTTGACATGTTTATAGACAATGTCTGTTGAAACACATGTCACAACATATTCAGCGAGTTCAAAATGCTTGCGCAAGTATTTTTTCAATCCCCGCCAAAACCGAGGAAATTGTTAATGGTCCTTAGATATAAATTTAATAATAATTTTAGATTTTTAATAAAATCATAAAGCGTATCTGTGAATAGCATTTAGTCTTTGTTTTACTAAAGTTGGTCTATTCTATCAAAAGTTATGATTATTATATTGAAATTTAAGTGGCATTGAGTCATTTTATTCTAATCTCAGAAATCGTAACAAAATTATGTAAAATAATGTTTTTTGTTGATATACTATTACATACAAAAAAATATAATAGGTTAATCAAAAATATTAACGTTATACCATTTTATTTAGAAAAACTACAATAGTTAACCACTCTCATCGACAAATAATGCTTTGCAAATGTAATGTAGTAGATGTATTTTCATAGCTATTTCTGATCTTTATAATTATGACTCATAGGCGGAATAACTCGTAAAAAATTTATGATGCTGTATGTTTTATATTTTGCGTTTCATAGCTAGAATGACCATCAAATCAAAGATTTAAGTTGTATTTTTTTATTACATACATTTATACGTGGTAGAACTTACTCATGTGGTAGAGCCTTGCTGCAGCTATATTAATTGTAAAGTTGTAGCATGAATGGGTCGGCTCGACCGGGAAATGACCAAACTTTCACAAAACACTAGCGTAAAATAGTTTCGTCTGGTGAGTGTGGAGAAGCGGAGACCTTTTTACTGGAAGAGAGGCATTTCCATCTTAGTCCTCACAGCTGACAACTCATCTGCATTTTGATTCGCTGTAAACGGGGATTCATCCTGGGTAAGCAATGGCAAAGTCTAAAAATAATAGAAATTTCGTTGGTTTCGGTAAGGATCGAATGTAAATTTCCTGTGTGCTATGCGAGCACTTATATTCTGAGCTACTACGGAACTTTTGTTATTAACCTATAAATTTAATACCTATACTCTGGGTTTTGAAAACCTGTAACTATCCCACTAATTTAAAACTTATTTTTCATGAATATATCATAGGCGTTGAAACCTTTAATTTCTACTTTTAAGAACTGGTGATAGTAGCGCTATTCTCTTATTAAATTCGAATTTATGTGATTTTTTTTGATTAATTACTCATAATCAATTTTTTTACTATGGTTATAGATATATAAAAAAAACTGTTTAAATTGAACTGAAGTCCTTTTTCGAATTACCTATACTTTTACATTGCATGATGTGCATAAATTACTTCCTATATGAAATTTTCTACTGATTATATAACCAAACAATGGTTTTCTTTCCGAGCGTTAATTATTTAATGGAAATTGTTACGAAATTGTACTTCATTAGTATAAATTATTATTTACTAAAGGTAGTTTTAAAAGCAGACAAAAAACTAAATTTTTTATCACAAATCTTGTATGTTTTTCTTTTAAAACAATCGCCCGCGAAATTTCGTTTATAAGTTTTAAAATATCTTTGCTATTATAGTTTGAGTTTAAAAAGTGGTGTAGATGATAAAATATAATCATTAGTCGAAAGAAATAAAACTTCAAAAGACATAAGTTACTAGCAAACATTCTATCGGAACGAAGTCGTGGGCATAGCTAGTAATAATATAAAACACGTCATGCTCTAATCACTCTGACTTATTCTTTTACTTAATTAATGGCTTGGTGCAACGTTTCTTACACACGTAAACAAGGAAAACTACAGATATTATTGTTGTAATCAACAAACATTCAAACAGTTGAGGGGGTCAACAAGGTCAAGATTATGATGTTGGTGAGAAGTTATTTAATTCCACGGATTCGTTTAAAAGTTAACAACTACAACTTTGTAATTACAATAAACAATACGACTTGCAGGAGCGGATGTAATGTCTAGAGAGCTTCAGAGACTAAAGTCTTTTGTAGCATTAATTTTTGACACAAATATATCAAAAGTGTTATATATTTTTCCATCTTCTTCATCATTAGCCCGAAAAAGTATACAGCAAGAACGTGGGCCTCTCTCACTATAGAAATGATTTGCCTTATTTATCACAATTGGTAGGCAGATTAACGATCGCTATAGAAGACGTTTCGCATCTTTGATGCTATACTATACGTAGCCGGTCTGGGAATTTTATGTCTGGCTATAACGTAACAGACTTTTTTCTATCGCTATAACTCGAAAGCTTTTATTTTTTTTTATAGAAGAGGGGGCAAACAAGCATGAGGCTCACCTGATGGTAAGTGACTACCGCCGCCCATGAACTACCGCAACACCAGGGGAATTGCAGATGCGTTGCCGGCCTTTTAGAAAGGTGTAAGCTCCTTTCTTGAAGGTTTCTAAGTCGTATCGGTCTGGAAAATTCGCTGGTGGTAATTGATTCCACAAGGAAGTTGTGCGAGGGAGAAAACTTCTTCTAAATCACACAGTGGTGGACCGCCAATCATCAAGATGGTATGGATGGTAACGCGAGTTTTGTCGCGATGTGCGATGGTGAAATTGAGCGGCTGGAATTAGCCCGAACAATTCCTCAGATCACTCCCCGTGATAGTTGCGGTAAAATACGCAAAGAGATGCAACATCTCTACGCAGTGTCAGTGTATCGAGCCGATCAGAAAGAACTCGGTCGTAGACGATTTGAACCGCTCTGCGCTGGATGCGGTCAAGTGGAAGGAGCTGGCACTGGGGTACCACGGCCCAGAGATAAGAACAGTATTCCATGTGGGGCCGAACTTGCGCTTTGTAAAGTTGCAAGCAATGTGCCGGCATGAAATACTGTCTCGCTCTGCTAAGCACGCCAAGCATTTTAGAGGCCAATTTGGCCTTCCCTTCCAAGTGACCAAGAAACTGCACACTATTCGATATGTCGACGCCAAGGATTCCGATACTAGCTGAGGCAGTAAGGGGAGTGCCTTGAAACTGAGGAGATACGACAAAGGGGTTCTTTTTAGCGGTAAACGCGCAAACTTGTGTTTTCTGGGGATTGAACTGGACTAGATTTAGTTGTTAAGCAAAGACTCGACTTCAGACACAAGTTTGTCCCGGTACTCAGCGACGTTTTCCCGAGAAATATTGGCACGGCCGGTATATAAGGCATCACCAGTACTGTCGTCTGCATAGCAATGAATGCTACCAGTTAGCAACATATCATTGATATGCAGGAGAAACAGCGTTGGTGATAGCACGCAGCCTTGTGGAACACCAGCGTTGATAGGCTTGAAATCAGAGCATGCACCGTCTACTGCGACCTTGATGATCCGATCAGCAAGGAAACCGGTGATACATTTGCACAATTTCTCGGGAAGCCCATAGGAAGGAAGCTTCGAAAGAAGCGCTTTGTGCGAGACCCGATCGAAGGCCTTCGCTATGTCCAAACTAACGGCCAATGCCTCCCCCTTGAACTCTACTGCTTCCGCCCATCTATGAGTCAGATAGACTAGAATATCACCAGCTGATCGACCTCGACGAAAACCATACCGGCGGTCACTAATCAGCTGGTGATCCTCAAGGTACCTCATGAGCTGGCAGTTTATAATTGATCCCATTATTTTGGAGAACAAGGAGGTGATGGCAATAGGCCTGTAGTTGGACGGGTCTGAGCGGTCACTTTTTTTAGGGATCGGATGGACCAAAGCTGTCTTCCATGAATTCGGGACTACGACTTGGGAGTAGAAGTACCGGAAAAGACACCGGTGCCAACTCCGGAGCACATGTTTTCAGCACAATGGGAGGTACTCTATCGGGCCCACTCGACTTGCTGACGTCCAGGGAGAAGAGTGCTTTGCGAACCGAGCGCTGTGTAAACCGCACATCCGGCATAGAGCACTCACATCGCGGGATGGTCGGCGGTGTATTTCCCCCGACATATAGAGTCGAGTTGGATGCAAAAAGAGAGCTCAACAGATCGGCTTTCTCCTTTGCGGCATGGGCCAGTGAGTCGTCCTCTCTGTGCAGAGATGGAAGAGATAGCTGACAGAAGTTCCCTTGGACAGCCTTGGCGAGCGACCAGAATGCACGGGTTCCCGAAGGAAGGCGAACTAGCTTCTCACCAATTCTGCCGATGTGCTCAGATCTTGCCTTGGCAATGACGCTTTTGAAGGACCTGGAGGCGGAATTATACTAGTATTATTACTGTTAGTTTTTTCTCGCATTCTCCATCGTCGTCTCTTAGTATAGCAGTGTGATGTAACGGGGTGATGGATTTATTTACGCCACCATTACAAGGTAAACGAATTACCGTTTTAAATATCGTTTAAGTGAAGTTGGCAATGCGAGAAATCGTATGTTTTATAGGTAATCGTTAACTTTTTTCTTTGTGGTGTTAGGTAAATTGAATCGATGAATTAACAATGAATAATATATTGTTAAACATCTTACATAAAGGATTACAATTAGGAAAATATAGAGTAAGATAATATGGAGTAATAATATTGAGTAGTATTATTTAAACATACATCACATCACCGCACGTAAAGAAAAAAGTATCAATCACATAGATTTTTTTTAATAATACTATACAAATATACCATTTAATGACATAAGAAAAATTATAAAGATTTATTCTACTTGTAAAAGAGTTTTGTATGATTTTTATGAATTACATCCTTTTTTCCATATCTTTACTTAGCTCTACGTTTGGTTGTACCTCTTTTAAAACTTTATAAGGACATGAGTAAATATTGTCTAACTTATTACTAGGTGTTTCATTTTCGACAAAAATTAGACAAAGAAGCTAGTAGGATTAATATTTTTATAATATTTTATTTTTTTATTCAATTACTTTGTAACAGAATAATATCTAGTGCCTCTTTTTGAGAAAGTTTTAAACGGTATTTTAGTTCACAAGGTTAATTTCTAAAATTATATAACTAATTTAATTGTTTTGACAAATTATTGGGTAGAGAACATTTCTCACCAAACACCAATTCATACGGTGTAAATCCTGTTTCTGAGTGTACTGTCGTGATCAGTCGTGATCAGTTTCTATCCGGGCAAATCCGGGGCGGGCTGCCAGTATTTTAAGAAGCACAAGACCGGTTGTGCAAGCGGTACTGTCACAATCACATTTTTTTTATAGGATAGGGTAACAAACGAGCACACAGTCCACCTGATGGTAAGTGGTTGCTACGGCCCATAGACATCTACATTTATCCTCAATAAAGAATCAAAATGCAGATGCGTCGTCACCCGTGAGGACTAAGATGGAATGCCTCTCTTCCAGTAAAATGGGTCTCCGGTTCTCTACACTCACCATACGAAACACAGCAGTGTCAAGCTGCTATTTTACGCTGGTATTCTGTGAAAGTGTGGTCCTTCCCCATTCGAGCCGACCCATTCGTGCTACAACTATACTACTAATATAGCTGCTGCATGGTTCTATCACGTGTAATATATGGATGGTGCTGCAAAAATGCCACAATTGAAAGGCGCACTAAGAGGTTATTGATGACCTTAATTTGGTTGAAACCAATCTGCAGACATAGACTAGCCAGCCTCTCATGAGTTAAATTGTAAGCATATTAAAGTTATTCATTTATAATGAATAACATACATAGATGCCTAAAATAGCACAACAGCCAAATTAATATAGTTTATTAATTTTATAAACCTGCAAACGAATCTTCTTGATTTCTCAAATTTTTATTAATATTGTTATAATCAGAGCCTAAAATTATCACAACTTATTACTTCTTCACTATATGTTATTAATTATCTAGCTATGTTCATTTTTTTAATGTTGCAGTCATCAAGGAATAGGACCAAAACTGTACGATGGAAAAAGAATTGGATTCATTAATTTTGAATCAGACCCAAGCACTTTTAACACTGAAGTTTTGTATAGAAATATAATTCTCGTGAGTATGATTTATATTTCTTACAGTACAAGAATTACCACTGTCCAATCCGGCAACACCGAGTGCTTTTTCACGTAGAACACGCGGGCGCGGTGGCGGCAGTCAGCGCGATTATTGGGGCAAGCTCGAGTTCATGTTAGCCGCCAGGCGTTTACGCGATTGAGACGTGTTGTCAGAGGTTGTGAACTTGGACGACGAAATTTTATTTTTAATTGAGTATTCTTACCTATAGTGGGAGATAACTAAAAGTAGAATTGGTGTGCATGAAATTAAGAAAGAAAGAGAACTGGCAGAGTGGAATAAGGCGATTCCATTGGGTTGAATCCTCGATAAATTGTACGACAAGTTCAAAGTTGTTGATCTTACCTGAAGCTGCGTGTCAATCGCGCGCTCCGCCGCTACTTTGACATGAATACACATAAACAACTTCATACGTTTCACATTGCCGCGAGCGCGCTGCGTGTGATTGTCGCCAGCTTACTCGCTACTTCCACTGCACCTGCGTATTGTACGTGAACACTTGCATATATTGATATTTCGTTTGATATTTCGTGACCGCGCTCGCCCCCGCGCCAGTGAATTAACGTGAAAAAGCACTGAAATTATTAGACTGTATAATAAATTCTCATTTATCATTAATCGGGAGGCGAAGAAAAACCTATATGTCAAAATTTTAATTCCGGGGCTGGTCGAAATTCAACCATCTAATTGGTTAAACGTTTCACCTGAACAGCAACATGCACACATGGTTTTTTATTTGTACATCCAGGGCACATTAACTTTTGTACGATATAAATTTCATTCCCCTTTTATAAAAAAATATAATTCCGCGAACATTTGAATCCACTAGCAGGCACTGGGGCAACACGAAGAACTCTTCTACGTTTTCCCATCTGTGGGATGTATGATAAATGTATGCTCCAAATTTAATGACATTTGTAATTTATACATAATATGAATCGTATCGAGTAAATCAATTCCTAATGCTTTATTTTAAATTGAAAATACTAAAGCCATTTTTTTTTAATTTTTAGGTAGGTGACTTTCGCTTGAAGTATGATTATATGTTCAATGAAATTTGGGTTATAGATTTGAATAATACAGGATTTGGACACTTAATGCGTATGAATCCGATAATTCTTCAAAAGGCAGTCAACATTTATCAGGTAAATCATTAAAAATACAAACGCATTTTTTATTTATATAAAAAATCTAAGGCATAACGCTATTCTACTACGCTACTACTTATAATGAAATAGTTATAATCTAATAAGTGCAAAAATTGTCTTTATACTTTAAATAATAAGCTCGACCTCTTAAATTAATCACTTAGAAATTCATATCTGCGCTTTTAATCAGTTTAGCCACACCTGATGCCGCTACGGTCTTAAACCAAGAAGTCACCAAAATGTCTATGTACGTAGCATCTCCCAATCAAAGTCATAGTGTCAGGTATGGCTTTAGTCCAGAACGTATAAGAGACGATGGTGATACCATATTCTATAAGTGTTACACAAAGCTCTTAAACCGGAATATTTATAGAAACGGAAAGCCCTTCGGATAACGCCGTTCAGAGATATGTGACGGGACAATCTAACAGCACTTCTTCACTTAATGATTTCTTAAATTCTTCACTTCTCTACTTTTTTACATGAAAGTCTGTCAATACCAAACTCATCAACGTCACTATCGCAAGAACACCGATAAAGTTGATATATTGCCAGAAAATTCATGTTTAATGTCCATGTCACACTTTTGCTGGTAGTTCTTGGGAGCACTTAGCTCGAAGTTGTTGACGAGTATGTTTACCTGGGATAAATAGTCCGACTAGGTAAGTCCAACTTCGACCGAGAGGTCAATCGACGGATTTAACTCGGTTGGGCAGCGTTCGGGAAATTATGGCACATCTTCTCTTCAGGTATACCTCAAAACTTGAAAAAGAGACTGTACAAACAGTGCGTGTTTCCAGTGATGACCTATGGAACTGAGACGTGGTCCTTCACTGCTGGCCGGATGAGGAAGCTCAAGGTCGCTCAGCGAGCTATGTAGAGGGATATGCTTGGAGTTTCTCTGCGTGATAAACTTAGAAATGAGGATATTCGCAGTAGAACCAGAGAGACCGACATAACCAGACGGATTAGTAAACTGAACCGACAACCGATGGGGAAAAAAGGTTCTCGAGTGGCGGCCTCGTACCGGCGGACGAAGTGTAGGGCTTTCTCCCACTAGATGGAGTGACGACCTGGTAAGATATGCAGGAAGTCGATGGATGCAGGTGGCTCAGGACCGTGCTCTGTGGCATTACTTGGGGGAGGCCCATGTTCAGCAGTGGACTTGTGAAGGGCTGTAATGATGATGATGATGATTTAAGTTTATTAAAAATCTCTCTAGATAACTTTACTTACTGAACACACTAAACTAGAATGAGCTAAATCCTTACTGTTTGTCGCTTTCGTGCTTAGAAACCCCTTCGCTCTAATGTACTCACGCGCGTTGACTCAATAGCCTATTCAAAATGTTGGCAGACTTTTGTCCACCCTATAGAGTTCGCGACAGGTCGGCATGGCAATCGGGGTATGAGCTGAGGCTTGAAGGAGAGGACACGCCGCATACCTGCCCATAGCCCGCGCTATCTTTGTCGAAGCACTGCACGAGTCGGCATTGACCGCCTGTATCGAATTCGATCTCCCTTACATTGTTTTTTGTTGTTGTGTATTAAAATGACTTCGGTCGCTTCCTCGCACGCGTTGAATCAATAAAAGAACAATAATTAATTCTCAAGCACGAAAACTAGCCAGAAAAGAATAAGAAAATTGTGACATTTATATTAAATACAATTATTATATAAACCCTGTCGATTAGACATTGGATAAGGCTACGTTTTACACCGGTTTATCAAAAAGAACTTTGTCCAGAATTAAATCCGAATCAAAATTAGCAGTTCTAAATAAACAATAAAAAGCTTTTCCTTGAGGTATTTGTACGTTACAACGACTGTTGAAAAAAATAGGCTACAGGTGGCATCAATGCCAATCGAAACGATCTATTTTAATTGAAAAACCAGATATAGTTTTCAAACATTATCAATATTAAAGGAAATTAGAGAAATCCAACAAAACAACAGAAATATTTTTTATTTAGATGAAACCCACGGACAATAATTTTGATTTCCAAAAGTGTTTGCAAATAACTGGATCAAAAAGAATTCTCACTGATACTAGTTCCTTTAAAACGGTTTTCTTCCAGAAACTTCTTTGATATTTAAGGCTGGTACTATTACCGGCGACTTTCATGTACAAATGAATGGGGAGAATTTTGAGAAATAGGTAGACGAAATGTTTTTGCCTTTACTTCCTGACCGCAGTATCGTGGTAATGGACAAAGAATCTTACCATAGTATATAGCTAAACAAACGGTAAATTTAAAATTTTGTACAACCGACTGCAATATATATGTGTAATTTTATGTTGATTTTTTTCAAAACCGCTCGGCACTGCACGAGTCGCCATCGACTGCGTTTAAGAATTCGATCTCTCTCACATTATTCTTTGTTGTTGTGTATTAAAATGAGAATGACAAAAATTCTCACCATATATAGCTAAACAAGTGGTAAAATTTAAAAATTTGTACAACCGACTTCAATATAAATATATATTGTTGATTTCTTAAAAACCGTTCGACCGACTCCTATAAAATTTAAACGGGACCACCTAGAAAGGAACTGGAATTTTCCAAACCGGTTCAGGCGACTTCGAATAATCAGGCATAGGAATCTCTTTTTATGTATATACATAAAAGGAGATTCCGACGAATTGTAAACCTCCTCCTTTTTGAAGTCGGTTGAAGTAAGCCCCCAACAAAAAGTTTGCTAAAATCTGCAATGATAAAATGGTTAGAAGACAATAACATTTCTTGCGACAGTTCAATGAGGAAACCAGATTTATTTGAAATTATAAAATAATACAGATCCGTTGATATCAATTATAAAATTGATAATATAATTATATTGTCAATTTCATGGTCATATCGTTTAATTAAACGTGGCCATGACATTATAAGACTAACTCTATATATGTGCGATTTAAATCGTATTGAATTAGTCTGAGCCGCCTTTAAACGCTTCGTAAAGGAACACAACATAAAGAGCGATTTGTGTTTGACAAAACTGAAAGAGATAACAACGAATGCTACGGCAGAAATCCGGAGAATTTCGACTGTTACGGCAGAAAACTAGGCAAATTTCGAAACAACATGTTGAGAAACTAGAGAATGAATATTATAAATATAAAGGATTATTAGGAAGAAAAATTTATAAAGGATATAGGAATGGAAAACGTAATGGAAGATTTTATCATAGTAGTCGGATAAACTAGTGACGAAAAGTCACTAAGTGCTTGTAGCGATAATAGTATGAGTTCCTTTGATATTGATTGTGATGAATAAAATATTATTAAAAATATTTTTTCATTTAACTTATAAACTTTATTTAATTAATTTTACTTTTATTTTGTTGCGTTGCAAAAAAATATCGATATAAACTACCTGTTATGTGATGCCACATCATCAGAAAAGTGCCATGTCGACCTATCTCGTACTGTACTTTGTTCATGCCCGCGCTGACGTAGTAGCCTATTCACAAAGTTGAAAAACTTTTCTTCTACCCTGCACTTGTTCTTTTTTCACCAATGCTATATGTACTATACAATATGTATTATGTGATTTCAGGAGGGTATGGGCGTAAGGGTAAGCAAAATACACTGTGTAAATGCACCGGTGTTTGGTCATCATGTTGCTAATTTCATGAAAAAATTTGTGAAGTCTAAGATGATTGAACGTGCTGTTATTCATGATTCAATGGAGAGCTTACAAAAACATATACCTAAACAATATCTTCCAAAAGATTATGGCGGTGATCTGCCAACTTTAAAAGAGTTATCAGGTATATCAAAACGTATTTTTTATTTCTTTTGTCTCAATTCTCTGATAGATATTTTAGTCCATTTCACTTCATATCCACTTTAGAATATGGGGCCGTTTATAGCACCTTCCCATAATCATTTTGTTAGCCTTATTGAAGATATATACAAGTGCTAACAAAATTTATTACTAATATACGTGGTAGAGCCATGCTGCAGCTATATGAGTAGTATAATTGTAGCAGGAATGGGTCGGCTCGACCGGGGAAGAACCACGCTCTCACAGAATACCGGAGACCCTTTTTACTGAAAAAGAGATATTCCATTTTAGTCCTTACGGGTCAAAACGCATCTGCATTTTTAATTGAAGATAGATGTTAGCCACTTACCATCAGGTGGACTGTGTGCTCGTTTGTTATTTTATCCTATAAAAAATACTTTTCCTATATAATACCACCTCAAATTGTACCAAACATTTGTGAGATGAACATCAATGTTTGTCGTATACTACTATACATACCTACAACATATATATATATATATATATATATGTAGATATATATATATATATATATATATATATATATATATATATATATATGTAGATATATGTTGTAGGTATATCAATTAAAGTTAAAATTGTAGTGAGTTAATCTTATTTGATGCTAGATAGATAGTCTTTTTTCGATTTTTAACATTTACTCATACCTTAATTTTTCTTATTTAATTTTACAGATGATTTGGAAAAAGAATTTAGAACGGAAAAAACTAAAAAGGCGCTTTTAGATTTCTGTCAGCTTGTTTCTGATGAAAGTAAAAGGCCCAGAGAAAAATATAATGAAGAAGCTATCGTTGGTTCATTTAAGAAATTAGATTTAGACTAAGTAGGTTAACACCGAACTTTGAAATGAGTGTACTAAAATAATGAGAGTGAGTGTTTAATCAAGGCAAGATGGTTCTTATTATAAACTTGTTGTATCTGGCCACGTATTGCTAGTTTAATGTGTCAGTCTGGTTTAATGGAAAAGAAATTAAAGAAGAGATAAGTAAAGACACGGGCGTATTCAAATGTAACGTTTTGTAGAAATTTCAAAACAATCGGTGAGAGCTCTTCACGGAGTTTTAAAAATTTAAATAAACGTAAATTTACACTTTTTATACTTATAGATAAATAAATATATATAAAATAAATTATTGACTTTTAAAAATATGTGTTAAACTTAATTTTCATTAAAATTTATTTACTAACTTTACAAAAATATTATATATATCATATATTTTAATTCTAAAGTAAACGTTACCTCCTAACTAAAACTAGACACTACCACTTGGATTTTCTTTTGTATCGTAGAGGCTGTTTACATACATAAATTGCAAGACCAAATATCCAGACCCGGAAAATCTATTTGTAGGCCATTTAAGTACTCAGCGCCAGAACTAATTTTTAAGCCACTGCATTCTATAACCACGTCTGCAAAAATTCATCATTCATCAATCCGGTGAGCTGCGGTAATCATGTAGAATAGAATAGAATATAATCATGTTTATTCCATATAGATTACAAGAATACGCGTTGAAATTCATTTTTTACTTTTACCACTGCTACGAGAAAACTCTGTCTTGATAAGATTTAGCAAGAAACCCAGCGAGACTTATTTTTTTAATGAAATCACTTTACAATATATTATATTAAGCAATTGGTAAGAACATATTACAAACATCATGGTAGCGACCACCTCATTCCCAGTATATTTTCTGGGACTTGGGCTAACATGAAGGAATTACTGAGTCTTTGGAATCGAGTAATTGATACAACTAACTTATGCTTGTTTCTAATATTAATAGAATGTTTATCACCATTTTTAATAAAATTATTTATTTTTGTGTACATACATTAAATTTTCGTAAATATATTGAGAGGCCAAAATTAACATATTTATTTCTTTAAAACTTTCTCTAAGGGATTCCTTCGGACCTAGGTTATACGAGTAAATTACTCGTATGACTCTTCTACACAACAAAGATAGTTTCAATGTCAGCCGCATTACCCCGTATCAAATTTCCAAGTGACATTATGCTATGGAAATAACTAAAATATTCTAATCTAGCTATTTCAACACGTGTACGGTCCCTTATCTTTTTACAGCATATGCTGCAAAACTAAGTTTGATAGCTAGTTTAGATATATGACGGCCCTAGCGAAGCTTCGCGTCAACTATTATTCCGAGGAAAATGGTGGATTAATCAAAACTCAGCTCTTCTCCATTTAAAAGCACACTGGTATTCAACTACTTAATATTTGGTGTTGTAAATTTAATACATTTCGTTTTGTTGTCGTTTAAAAGCAAATTATTGACATTAAACCAGTTTACTACTTTTGATTTGCATTATTTAGTTCGTCCTATTTTACGGAAAATTAATAAGGTATCATAAGCAAATAGAACTATACATGCTTAAAATAAAACTATATCATGTTTTATGAAACTATATCATGGTGATGTGCACAGCGACTCACAATAATATGTGCGGGATTTTGATGACATTTATGGCAATGTTTGGTCTCTAAAATTAAATTTATAGCGATAAAAAACAACAAATAAAACTGTGTAGAAAATGTATGATCTAGTATGAATAATAACTTACATCATGTAGAAAAAGTAAATTGTACTAGCTACATATAATTAACCCTTGAACACCTATCACCTACTTATGTCACACAAACACCTACCATGCGTCTTTGGGACGCGGAATAAACTCCAGTTTGTGAAATATATAGAAGTAAGGGTTTGTTATTAATAAAAAAACAGTTAAAAGCAAATGATGAACTGTTCATTAAAAAAAGAAGGAAACACAAAAATTAACAATCTTTCTTATAATATCAATTCCTTTTCAACATCTCTTATATTTGTAAAATGATATTTTCTAAATATAGCGGGAATTTCTTTAGAGTTTTCATAAATAATTTGATGGTTAACATTTAAATAAAATTGCAGGCTCTAAACTCACGAAAGTAAAGACATAATTTATTTGACCATTCAAGGCTAATAGGTGTTTTGAATTCGAAACACATATATTGTATTTATTATGCGTCTCTTTTTAAGGTCCAAATTTTGGGTGATATTTTTGGTGAAATTCTTGGATATTTAAGTAAAAATCACAATATCTGTTTATTTACCCGCAAATAAAAAATACAGGATGACAGAAGAGGATACAATAAAGGTTTTTACTTGAACAAAATTGTATTTTGTTAATCCCTTATTAGAAAAGAAATCCCCAAAAAGTACCTTTGTCATATTTTGCAAAATTTCTCCAAAACGGCACAAACTCTATAAATAGTTTTTAAACTAAAAAAAGGTTTTAAAGTATTTATATTTTTAACTGAGAGTTTTATAGCAGCTTAACGCTGCTGTGTTTCGTATGGTGAGTGTAGAGAAGCGGAGACCCTTTTTACTGGACAAGAGGCATTCCATCTTAGCCCTCACGGGTGACAACGCATCTGCATTTTGATTCTTTATAGAGAATATATGCAGATGTCTATGGGTCACAGCAACCACTTAGCATCAAGTGGACTGTTTGCTCGTTTATCAACCTATCCTATAAAAAAATGTCTTATAATAAAACGATGTTTTTATAAGTATGACTTTAATAGAACATTATTGGGAGGGAAATCTAGATACACATACTTATATTTAGGTACACTTTTATAAAATCAAATCAAATAATTGAAATAAAAATGGTAAATAATAATAAATATGTTTAAGTAATTTAATATAAAAGTAATAAAATGTGATGGACATTGCATGCCAAATGGCGGAATATAGCTGTACTAAATGTTTGTTCTATAAGTGATAAACTATGTAAACACCAACTGTATCAACCTATATTCGCAATAAACAATTTTAATTTGAAAATTTGAATTTGCTTCCCTAAGTGCTATATAAAGACATCCTTTGGTTAATGTTTTGTTTAAAAGTTAGACAAACTATGGTCTGAAAATGTATAAAAATTTTAATTGGGGAGGGGTTTCTCTGCGTGATAAAGTTAGACATGACGATATCCGCAGTATAACCAGAGTAACTGAAATAGCCCAACGGATTATTAAAGTGAAATGGCAATGGGCTGGCCATATAACTTGAAAAATAATATGAAGATAAACAATAGGAATAAAGGTTCTCGAGTGGCAACCTCGTACCGGTAATCGAAGTGCAGGGCAGCCTCCCACTATATGGAAAGACGACATGGTAAGATATGCAAAAAGTGGATAGATGCAGGTGACTTAAGACCATGCTTTGTGGCATTCCTGGGGAAGGCCTATATATAGGCCTTGTGAAGGGCTGTAATGATGATGATAATGTAGCCAAATGTACTTACTACGAATCTTCATGTATTCTTATACGCTTTTCCTAACACACTAACAAAGACTCACATACAAACACACACACAAACACACGCACACACACATATATATATATATAGAGAGAGAAATAAGTCGCAAATAATACTTACCTACTACTACTATTAGGCAAGAGTGAATAGGCTTTTGTTAAGTCAGTGCCCTTTTGCCATCTTAGACTGCCATCAGGTAGGATTGTAGTTGCTTTACTACTTGCTGGGTAAGAATAGTTAAAAAAAAATTTACCCTGTGAAAGTTTGCAAGTAGATATAATTTTTCTAACTAACCATAAAAATGCATTAGGTGTGATGGGAATATGTATAAATAATAAATGTTGTCTCACACGGGACAGTTATAATATAATATTATACTCGTATCTTCCAGTATCTGCGCATGAGAACTTTTAAAATCTATAAATCCAGATTAAGAGGCTAAATAAAGCTACATTTATTTGCATGGGGATAGTTTTGGATTTTACATTGTTATCGAAAGAAATTGTACTTACAATTGAGCGTATTTCAGGTGGCGGTTAGCAAAACATGTTTCGACAAAATTCACTCAATAGAAAATAATTGCAAAGTAGCTTCTGAAAATACCTAAATTATCAACTTTCTCAGATTTACATAAAATAATTTGAGTATAATAAGTAAAATTATATCTTCTAGGTTAATAAAGCTATTGTGCCATTTTGATTTTTAATAAAGTGATTTTACTTTAATTTAAATAATTTATTTTGCCCTTCTATAGAAAGTACCGTTTTTCTATCACTCCTATTGAATTTGACAGTGCTCGCTGAAAGTTAGCGTCTCTAGACGGAACTGAATCGCACGCTGACCTAGCTGTTAAGATATTGCAAAAATAATCGAAAATTTTTATTTTTACTTTCATCCCGAAGACTATCTTGTTCTATTTTATTATTTATTTACAAATGTTTTCATTATTTTGTTATTCAATTGTTTACAGTTATTATCACATCTAAGCTTACATTAGAAATTCTAGGTGGGATACGATGTATAAATAGGTACCTTATTTTCGTCAACAACTAAAATATATTATATCTTTCTTTTTTCACCAGTGGAGCTTCAAAACAATCTTAAAAATGATCAATGAATTTAAAAAAAAATACTTACAAATAATTATTTTATTTTCTGCCGGTGCTTTACATTTGAAGTTAAAGTCGCATTTTTAATTAAACGAAGCTGCTTGACGTTTACTAGGTTGTCAGGTTTGGATGAATCAAAAATAGTGTTGTGATTAAATGACTGAACGGTAAACAAAATGATTGACTGATACAGAAAACAACTGAATGGCAAAAAAAAATATTTCTTTAACTTAAGGTTTTAAAAATTACGTCAAGATTTATTTAGGTATATCCATGTTGTCAGTTTATGAGGTGAAAGTTATCCATAGTGCATGTCGTCATAGGGCTTTCATAAAAAAAACTATGCTTAGGTATTATATATTTTTATTCATCGTCATCAGTTATAATAT